CAACAAACTAAAGACTAAAAAAATGACTAAAAAAAACAATTTAAAAAGTTTTCAATAAAGAACGAGGCACCAACATAGCGTTGAAGTTGCGTGATTATTGAAAATATCAGACCTAAATAAATTTTATGCGAGTCTCCGGTAGGGCCCCCAACAAAAATATTCAGTTTCGTCATTCATCTGCCGTCCCGAAGGAGGGACTTGCTGGCTGTTCAATGCAAGCTATCCATGTAGACACGCAATGCTCGTCCAACTTTGAGTATGCAAGTGCTCACTTTTAATGCGGCGTGTATTAAAACGATACGAAATTTATTAAGGTTTGAATTGAATAATGTTTGAACAGGGTAGTTTCCATTATCACCAATTCGATAGACTGCCATCGTTGAACGTTAAACCTTTCAGTGAAAAATGTAGTTCAACGTGTAAATATTTTTTTTGACGTGTTTGACATTCAACACATCCCATCATCACATCAACATCATTACAGCAACAACATCGCATCAACATCAACATCATCACAGCAACAACATCATATCAACAACATCACATCAACATCATCACAGCAACAACATCACATCAACATCATCACAGCAACATATGAACGCATCGACATCATTACATCATCACGTGAAAAAATCAGCGTCATAAAAAATGAACACGCTGAAATGCGAAGTCATTCAATTGATTTGTTTATGGTATATAACGATACATTCCAAGGAGTTCGTGTTTGTCGTCTGATGGCGGTAATGCGCATGCACTCATTTCATCTCTGCTGTCCTCACGATAACTTGAAAAGCAATCTCAAATTAAGCAAAATAACATGCATGAAGTCGTGTAGTGCGGAAGTAGAGAGTTGCTAATCATAGAGCTGGCTGTGTTTGTTCATCTGATTGTATATGTTTGTTTGTATATGTTTGTTTGTATGTTGTTGGTGTGTATGTTGTTGGTGTGTAGTCTGCATGTGGATAGTATGTTGCTGTTTGTATGTTGTTGGTGTTCAGTAATGTTGTTTGTGGGATAATGAGTTTTATGGACGCTGTATGCAATCTCTATGTTGTGAGATGCCTACCTATGTATGTTGGCACCGGTGTTGTGAGTTAATAATTACATTGTACGAAGCTAGACTTAATCTGAACATGTTAACAAACTGCATTGCAATTTCTTGGAATTCATTAACAGAATTAAAGTCTGGTTACGTTACTACTACTGCTGCTGTATGTATGATATTTTGTAATGGATCTGTAACGTTATATTGTTCATTTTTCTGTTCGCCTGTTAGTCTCTGGTAGTTCAATGAGGCTTAAGTTTACTTGCTGTGCGTGCGTGCGTGTGTGCGTGTGTGTGCGCGTGCGTGTGCGCGCGTGTGTTTTAAATATTTGTATGTTGTTTATATGATCCTGATAGGAAGTTTTTATTTGTTTCTTACCTTGTTTTTATGTATTTGGTCTGGTGCTAACTTGCCGCCCATGCTGTTTTGAAGTTGTCCCCGCGTGTTAATGGCTTGTCGTTTTGGGGCGTATGCCGCATGATATTCTGCTGTCTTCTTACTGAAACTTATTTACGATCTTTGCATCTTTAACTTCGTTTGCTTTATTATGGTCTAATATTGTTTAATGTTTTTTTTTCAAATAAAAGTTTCTTAAATTGAAATTCAAAAGTTATTGGCAAAATTTTGAAAAGAGAACTTTTATCACCAAAAAAAAATCTTAAAAAAAAATTTTTAGTTGTTTCGCAGCTTACCAAAATGATTTATTATTATCATCAAATGTTTTCTGAAACCTCTAAAAGACCAAAAATTTCGAAGTATTTTAAAATTGAAGCAAGAATATATTCTTACTTCCGCCCCTCTTAAAAATTAATTCCAATCAAACAACACTTCTTATTCTTTTCTGAATGACAAACATATCAAACCAACACTTTTTAGGCATTTTATTATCTTCAATGCCATTGTAGGAATCAGCACACGAAGTTATTACCACAGAAACGTCGTAGATCATTTTTGGAGGTTCATATGACATGACAACAAACATTAACATAACACACCGAGCGTACGTGCACGTAATGTAGCACACATTATATAATATCTTATTGTTAAATAAGAACATTATTATTAAGAAATAACGTAAAAAATTACGGTAATAATTTTTTAGGAAAGTAATTTCTTTTAAAATCAGCTGGTTAGAGAGGATGTAGGCCACAGAAACCTCATCTAGAAGGAGAGGCGAGTGGCCTGAATGCTGTCGAGATGACGAATAAATAAACAAAATGCAACACGTTATGGTGCTTCGGAGCAGTATAACTCACGATGAACATGCTGGTTCTTGCTAATCTGCGTGCGCTATTAACAACAGCAACAACGGATAATAGAGAAGAAACACTATCATAAACAAGTAAGCAGAACAGCAAGTTACATGCAAAAACAACACTACCATGCAAAACGTGCCAGTAAATTTGCATGCCACTAATCTCTCCCACCTGAACCATATTCAATTTGAATTCTGGAGTAACCTCCAGATTGGCTACTGACTACATCGTCAAGAATCAAACAAACAAAAGATGAAAAGAAGATAAACGAACATGTTTAGAGAGAGTTGAATTCCATTTTAATGGTAAGTCAGAGAATAGAATATTATATTGATTGTAAATTGAATAGGATCGCTTGCCTAATTTGAAGGTGTTGATCTGTTTAATTAATCATGTTTAATTAGTCTACTTGCTGCCTTAATTAGTTGGTTTATCTTGATATTAAATTTTTTCTACGGTTCAACAACAAAAAATGTTCATCCGTTTTATTTTGTTGCAGCCAGACAAATTAGAAACAAGTTAGATAAATGTTCATTTATTTATGCGTGCTCTTAAAATAAGACATCATTTATAATAACAACTCAACCATTTACATCATTATCAGCACCATCGTCGTCTTCGTCGTCATCATCATCTCCATTATAACCGTTTAAGAGGGAGGCATGCATATAAAGACAATTCAAACTACATTACCCAATGAACACAAAAAATGCGCGCGGGACCGAGTTAATTTTTCATAAAATGTGACGTCATTGTGACGTCATCGTGATGCATTCGATAATAAGGGAGGGCTGTGGTTACGATGTTGATGTGATGTTGATGTGATATCGCGTTGATATCATGCTGACGTGATGCTGATGAATTCATTTGATGTTGATGTGATATGCCAGTTGATGTCATGTCTTGTTGACGTGATGTTGATGTCATTTGATGTTAATTTGATTAATATTAATGTGACTGTTAGCTGTTAGTGTGATTAATGTGGTTGAGAGATTGACACTTATTCATTATGCTGATGTCACTGCGGTGGTCGATGAAGTTGTGATCGTGGTGTTGCCAATGTCGCTATAAATAGTGCAGCAATCTTATCTTGGTCGAGTGATTTGAATGAGTAATGACATCGAAGCGGAAAAATTATGAGACCCACTTAACCTGATTGCCCGCCGAATGCAGAGCATAAATCACGCCTAAAATGTGACAACAATCTTCATCATTTTAAACTTCAATGTAAAATATTACAATTTGTAAACGAAACCAAAAAACTTGCAAGAAATGTAAAAAAGGAAATGATTTGAATTATATCCCACGGCTTTAATAAGTACGTGGAGCATGCAAACAAGCACTGAGTCTCCTTCTCGGCGTCTGTCCCTCTCTCTCTCTCTCATTAGTCTCGAGTGACGTTGCAATTGGCATTTTTAAAAAAAAAAATCAAATATGGGAAGTAAGAACTGATCGTTTGAATTTTTAGAAAAATTTGCGTTCTTTCGGGAATTTCCAAACAAATGCAATCGAGTGCGAATTACGCACTCGATTGCATTTGTTATGGTGGGATATTTTTTAAAACATCATCATTCGCCTGTCGGAGTCAAGTCGAAATTTTATTTTGTCTGATTTTTCGGTGTTTTGGTCATTAACGAATTTTTAATAATAATTATAATAATTTTTTTTATTATTCTTGAATAAATACAGCAATAATAATAATAATTAATATAAAACAAGCATAGATGTGTTCAGAGGCGAATTTAGACAACTTTGACGGGAGGCCCAAGCTTTTCCAAAAATATTTGACGACGGCGAGGTGGAATTTTTTAAAACAAAAATCACTTATTAACCGGGGGGAATATTACAAAAATTTTTGTTCACCACATTATTTTGCAAAATTATTTTTTAATAATTCCATTCCTGATTATTCGGAATTCACCATCAGGCGCCATCGAAATCGTCAGAAAGGCACGCCCCTATTCAGTTTACACCAAAACATTTTTACACAAAACACTTACCAAACTAAGAAGTCAACAACTACAACAACTACCCTGCTACAATCTGTTGCACACAGCAACAACAAACATAACACTAACAACATCAATAACAAGCACAACAACAGCGTTAAAAATAACAACAACAAATAACATCTACATCAGAAATAACTACAAACACAACAACAATAACCACACGCACTAACATACAAATTTACAGCAGTAATTAACATCATAAAGAAGCAATAAAAACAGACAGCTTCATTTGCATTAGGAACAACCACAACAATAACCACAAGAACAACAACAATCACAACAACAGCAGGCACAAATTGCTTTAATGCAGCTTATATTTGCCTCGTTAAATAATTTTCAGCATCCGGTGTTATGCACGATATCGTCATCGTCGTCGTCTTCATCATCGTCATCAACAACTACAACATATGACGTCACGAATCAGTATGATGATAATTTTTAAAGCAAAATCGTAAACAACCTTTATTGCAATCCTTTGTAATGTATTTCAATCAGACTTTTGTGTCACAAAGGCTCTAAACTATCCACACACAACACGACACACATCCATTATATCAACATCACAACAACATCACAACCAAACAACACAACCAAACAACACAACCAAACAACACACGCAACATTCTGGACAACTTTCACTTCATTTCCCATACTTGCTAACTGCAGCTAACACCGACAAATAAAGACATGTACAACAACAAAAACAACAACAACAAACAACACATCACAAGGGCGATAATTGAGATTAGACAGGCAGACAAACAACAACACGACATCAACTCCAACACAAACAACCCACACGTTATTGACGCACCAACAAAAGGGAGAAAACAAAATCAATAGCAACAAGCATGGAAGTTATCATCATCATCAATAACAACATTATTTCTTCAACAACATCATCTTCAACAACATCATCTTCAACAACATCAACTTCTACATACATCAACAACATCAACTATCGCAGCAACAAACAGCTTATATACAGCTGAAAAATCCAAACACAACAATTACAACAACAATAATAACAACAGCAAGAACAACAGCAATTGCAACAGCAACTGCAACAACGACAACAGCAACAACAACAACAATAATTACATAAACGGGAGCAGAAATTTTTTTTTCAACAAAGTCGTAAAATTTTAAATTTATTTTTTGCATCGGAAAAAGTGTGATACGCAAACGCAGATACATTTGCGTATGACGTGTGGAGCAGACTGTAATCAAACGGAGAGAAGTTATCACCAACCACATGATAATAACAGTAGCGCCTGCTTGCTCGGCGATGGTTGGCGTTAAATTCATAGAAATATCCTCACATTTATATTTACTTGTAAATAATTTATGAAAATGTTAAACAATTGTAATGAATTTTTTTGGACAAGAATATATGTATGTATATGTGCGTGTATGTATGCATGTTTGTATGTATGTATGCATGCATGTATGTATGTATGTATGCATGTATGTATGTATGTATGTATGTATGTATGTATGTATGTATGTATGTATGTATGTATGTATGTATGTATGTATGTATGTATGTATGTATGTATGTATGTATGTATGTATGTATGTATGTATGTATGTATGTATGTATGTATGTATGTATGTGCGTTGTACTGATGTAGTTGCAGACGAAGGGTACGAAAAACTGAAGCTCTGTTCAATCACAGATCTAGATTACTTTGATGCCGGACACGTGGAAATCTGTTTGTACATCTTAGCTGGTCAAAGTCAGCAGGGTCAGAGAAAATCCTATGTAGGTAGGATTAGCAGCAACAACAAGGGCCTATCTATCTTATACTCAAAAAGTCTTAACCCGGCTACACTGGTTCAACGGGTAGCTCGGCCAGCTCAGCAAGCGCCGAGAAACGCATCTTGTGGCACAGTGAGATACATACAAACACTATTAGCCATTCACTTCATCCCGATTATCTCCGGCCGTCGTCTCAACACTGTCCTGCTGTTGGTTACAGATAGGCTGGGACGAGAAAGTGAGGTTGACGACCTGCGCAACTCTTTCTCACTATAAACCTGGTCAAGCGCTGATTACGACCAAACCAACTGACTGATGGATGCAAGCGCGCAACAACTCCAAAAGACTAATGACGATGGGCGAGTGGCAAAACAGTTGATAGGGGTCAAATCACAGAATACGGAGAGTAGTACATTTTCTTCTGGAGTGGTTGTAGCAGCAAGGAACGACGACAGATGGGCGTTGGCTTTGGGATCCAATCCAACATAGCCAGCAAATTATACAGATGCATCATGTTATGAACGGTTTTGCACAGGCCTGCAAAAAACTTTGGTTTCACTAACAACATCAACAAAACAGAAGTTACGTATCAGCCCACACTTCACAATAACTTTGAACAGCCGAATATAGCTGTATAAGACACAATGTTTAAAGCTTAAAAATTTCACTTATCTGGGCAGCACACCCTCAAGAACGGTCAACGTAGATGCGGAGGTGATCAATAGAATAACAATGACCCGCTTCTCATTTGGCAACCAAAGAAAAAATATCTGGAAATGAAAAGGACTTAGTCTCACCCTCAAAATACAAGTGTACCAGGCAGTCATACTCACTACGTCCATCTACGTCTTTGAAACCTGAATTATATAAAGTAGACATCCTATACAATTTAATCTCATCCACATCGGCTGTCTCCGGAAACTTCTCTACACCAAGTGGCAAGATAAAATTTTAGATGCAAAAGTTTTGGGACAAGCCTAAACACACGGCATTTATAAAAAGCTTAAATCAGATGGACAGGCTATTTTGTAAGAATGCCTGACAGCCGATTACCTAAACAGTTGCTATACGGTGAACTATGCCAGGGAACACGACCAGCGTGAAAACTAAAAAAAAAAAAACATTTCAAAAACAGCCTCAAAAAATTGCTGATCAACAAAGGTTTTCAACTCAACAACAGGTAGGCGCTCGCGAAGCCATGCTCCTATCAGGAGTTTAGGCAGTAGAGTTTCAACGTATCTCAGATGCTCAGAAGAAACGAGAACAACAAAAAACAGGGTCGCAGATCCAATAGCCCCTACATATTTGTGTACAATTGTGGACGGACGTTCAGGGCCCGAATTAGCCTCATCAGCCACCTACACCAATCTGATGGTTAGGTTGTAGTCATCTTCGCATCAAAAGACCCACATCATCATCATGTAATTACGTATGACTTGGGCTTGCCTTCCTGGTCCCAACCTGCAAGACATTCTATGGTAACCAAGCGGCTCCACTCTTGTACCAAATTTGCAATCATATTCCGCAATCACAGACAACCCCAATCTCAATCCCAAATTAACACGAATGCCATCATCTATTCTGGTGCTCGGAACCGCTTTAAACAATTCGGAGCCCAACTCCGAACTGCCATGATCCTGGCTTTATCATGTGTGCATTAGTGTATGTATGTATGTTAAAACCAAAACATCATGGATGACATTGAACAGTCAAACATCAAGTAACAAATAGATTAACAATTTGATCTGTCGTTAGTTGCACACGTCGGCATTCAATTGAATATTCTCAACCACACAGACACGCAGGAACCGCTGCAACAAGCATGAAATGTGATTCATTGAAAAAAAAACAGTTTTCTCCTGTCATCTGATCTATCACTAATTAACTTTCATATTGTTTTAAAAAATTTAAAAGTGTTGGAGTTGATGCATATCGGCAAAAATTCTATCGAGAGGAGAGCCTTTTTGTATTTTTTCATTTTCTCGTCCGCTGCCCTGGTTGCGGCCAAACCACATCCTCAGTTGTAAGAATTACGAACAAAACGTTCGGCAAGGGTGCCAGAAACCGTAACGTCCCACGCCAAACATCTACCAGCTCTTCAAGGGATTATGGCACAACCATCCGGGCGCTTACCATCATGCGCTGGAATGCCAGATGGTTTTTTCAAAACTGGAATTGAGGCCTTGAAAAAGAGCCGGCAAATATAGTTGTTTAATGCTGAGTGACTTAGCTGACTGCCCACACCCAGACGACAAACCAAATCACAGTGATCAAATTTATCAGCCCCGGCGCCGCATTGGCACGTGTATTTATTTCGAATAACCAGGCCGAGTCTGAAACCAATGGCAAACCTCAGAGACTCGATCTCCACCAACCAATTTTCATGTCATGTCATGTTATATTATGTCAAGTTATTTTGTGTTATGTTACGTCAGGTCGTGTAGATATAACAAAACATGAAGCTGACAAAGGTTTTTAAGAAATATATGTAACCAGTTACAACAACAGTAACGATTACTGTTATTATTATTATTGCTATTACTATTACTACTACTACAACTACAACCATTACTACTATAACTAAGCAATAATATTGAAAATATGATCTCCACAGCTTATTCTTCCAAATTGACAATTGATCAGACGGACCCTACAATAGACATTTTGATGAACACACACACACACATACACACACGCGCGCACACACACACACACACACAAACAAACATTCGTTGTCGCAACAGAACAATTCCAAACAACAAATCGGCAGAACTATTCATCACAATAAGCACAACAACAACGATACATGGGGAATGCTTTTTCAGCCTTTTTAAATCTAATCAACAAAAAATGTTTGTCGGGCGTTAATGCCTTCCATAAGCTTTTTAAAATGCTTTTTTTACATTGTATTATTATATTTTTGTTTCATTACATTAGTTACTATATACATTTAATAATTTTTTTTACTGTTACACTTTCTCGCATGTTGTATCGACTGCTGCTTTGTCGGAGTTTGAATTTTTTTGTGTGGAATAATTAACCAACAAACAGCCAACCGAATTAATACCACTAAGCTAGATTAGCATAACCATCGTCATTCAAGATTCAGTCACAACATCACATCGTCATAATCCATAATAACACCAACACCTACTCGTAATTATAATTAATAATATCATTAGTATGAACGTCCACCAATCATTGAAGTCTGCAACATCAATTGCAACATTATAACAACAGGATTGCCACAAATGACAACATCATCTAGGAAATATCGTCAACATTTTTTCTGTCAACATAATTCACAACAACAAAAATGTTGAAAAACAATTTCAGAAAACAGCTTCAAATCTTCTGATACGATCATGTTCCCGATTCGGTTGTCCTTGAAAAGCAGTTTGTTTCTTCTCATTGTGTGAATTCAATATTTGCTTTTGTGATGCCATCATCTGTTGTGTGGTGTCATCCCTTGTTCTGTGAAGTCATCATTCGTTCATGTTTTGATACAGTTTTAAAACACGATTTCCAAAATGACTTATTGTTTTTGCTTTTACTTCATTTACGATCTGTTTATAAATCGCTCAGTTGACCTTTCATGTTAACAAAGCCACTCACCCGCGAAAGCTACTGACTTGGATGAGCTTCAAAACTCTTACATCTACTACGCCACATGAACGAGTGCATGATCACTCCCAGTGTGAGAGCGCTGTGACTAACATGAAGTTTTAGAGAAAGAGAGAGAGAGAGAGAGAGAGAGAGAAAGCAAAAATCAAAAGGCTGTGTCCCGAATTTCGATTAAATAATTTTTTGTGGTAGATCGAAGCATTTGTTGACTTAGCACGCGAGGAAAGAAGCGCTGTAGTCTACTGAGCCATAAACAAAACTGTGCACTGTACAAATTAACATGTAATTGTCAGATAGACCCTCATACGCTTGAATTTATATGTGTGCCAGTCCGCTCAGAAACGCAGCAAGACCTCATGACAACAAAAACGACGCTGAGATATCATCTGCAACACAATACAACTTGACTTTTTATAATTGAAGTAATAACTTCTGCCGCTCCCCAAGGTTTCAAATTTATGGAAACATGTTTCCTCTCATCTGCTGCTCTTCTGTGGTTTCATTCAAATTGGAAACTGTTGCAAGAAAGTTTATTACAGCTCAAGTACTCAAGAATCATCATCGTGATCATAGTAACCATTTACATCAACCAACATTTTTGATACCATCATCATCATCATCATCATCATCAATCATCATCATCATCATCACCACCAACATCGTCATCATCATCATAACTAACTGCATTGCATAACCGCAACCACATGAAACGAAACGTTCATCCGTAATATCCAATCATCCAGGAACCATCATCGCCTCCACATCCCATCTCATTGTCGTGTTCATCATCATCATCATCACCGTCATCACAATCATCACCGCACACTGCAGAGTGCATGGATTTATACTTTTCATACAAACTCGAACACTGTCAGCATTTGGAACCCAGGAAAGATGGCAGTCTGGCTGTCCTCCACTGTTCGTTTCTTACTTTCTGGGTCCAGGCACTTAGTCTCCCAAACAAACGGCGAGTCCGAAGATGCAGAATAAGATTAAAAAATATGGAGGTCGCCATGTTTTGTTCAAAACTGGATGCGTCAAGCAAGATATATGACAGCCCACTAACGAACGGAAAGATGAGAATTGTTTTATAAAGGGTTGAAGATAGCAAACCAGTTAAGAAGTGCTGTTTAACATGAGCTACAGAATGCAGTACTTAAAATGACGCACCTGCCTTAACATGGCAGCAGTCAGCATTCAATACACTGCTGATTTTTTTTATCCATTGTTTCCTTGGGCAGTCAAGTATTAGTATTATTATTGCTCACTCAGAGTTTTTCACTTCCACAAGCTAACCAATTCAGAGCATGGTTCGTAGTGGAGTTGAACAAGCAGAAGCATTCTGTCTCATGCTACGCTGGCTCGTATAAACAATCCCATTAACATTTTCTGTCTGTCAGTGCCAACGTCATGCTGAACAGTATTCACATTGAAATATTTAAATCTATTACAACCTAGAACGAAACTGGAGATGGGCATGGGATGGGATTGGTTAAATGGGACCTTCCGTAGAGGAAAATTAAAATAATTTTCAGTTTGGTAAAATCTATTATAGAGAAAATTTAATTAACAGGTTTGTGTCTCTTTCGACATCCCCACGTTTTGATTTCAAAAAACTGGATAAATTTGGGGGCCTGCGCTCTCTATATAATTTTACTTAGAGTTAAAACAATAAAAGTATTTCAAGATCAATGTTGACAGAGATGAAGAGAGTAACATTTAGAAAAGAAAGAAATAACATTGTTGCTTTAAAGTCAGCGCCGAACAACCTCGACGGTCTTGGGGAAAAATTCTGCGTTGTAGTTGACGGAGATGAGGACAGCGTTGGTAAAAAGTCGCATTATTTTTTATTTTGTGTAATTTTAATTAACGGAAGGAGAAAGTCAGAAGATGGAAAAGTTTTTTAAACGGGAGGAAATTTGAGAGTTGCCAGTGAACGGCATAGTGCTAAGAGGAGGATGGAAATGAATTTGCTACCCTCTCCAGTTAACTTCCAAGTGAATTTTTGATGTTTTTAGTAATTCAAGTTTTATTATCGTTGCATAAAAATAAAACATTCTTGCCAATACCACCAAAAATTTAAACGAACATGCAGAACTGAACCAGTTGACCCAGCATGTATAAATGTGACTTGTGTAACAAATGCAGGCCAGTGGTGATGCTTATGCAGAATGTAACAAAACCTCAAGCACATACACATCCCAAACCAACACACACATGCATACACATACAAATACACTCATGCACACACATGCACACACATGCACAAGAAAACATACGCCAACATAAACAATACACATAAATGCACACACACATGCAAACACATACACTCACATGCGGACAGACGCGTGCAAAAAACACATCATACCCATGACCCACGCAAGCGTGAAACCCACCCACACATAAATGGACACCACATACACGCGAGACCAATCGCACACATGTGCACACAAGCCATAAAGTTGTGCACGAGATCTTCTGATTATGTTCAACCGGATGATAATGTGGGTTATTTATATCGGGATATCGGGATCGGGATTTTTTATTTAACCAACTTGCTCGCACACAACACTGTAAATCACTCCACGGCTGGCCACGTTTGCATTTGAAACAAACACAACCCCCTATTGACGATTCACAATATTTTTTAGGTTTCCTCCTACTTTGTATAATCACATTTTACAAAGTAACCTTTCTCCAAACTTTGCTCAGCTGTTAAGATTTTTATAAATATTCATAATGGCTGGAGTAATATTATTACAACTTCGAATAACTGTATGCAAAGACTTGAAAATAAGAAAGTCTGTCCAGAAAACAAGAAAATGTTCTTCGTTGTTTCCACTCACTTGACGTCTCGCAAACGAAATCTGCCTAATGAACTCAACCGAATCATTGGGCTGCAGTGTTCTGCTTTGAATGCCTCAAACAACTGACTGAATTACGCAGGTTATGAATGGCGCATATTGTACTGTGATGTGGTTATTGTACTGTGATATATATATATATATACTGTGATATATATATATATACATATATTGTACTATGATATATATATATATATTTATATATATCGTACGCTGCGTATATATCAAAATTCAAAATAAATATAAAAAAAACAAATTTTGTTTTTCTGTAAGTCCCTTGAATAATGCATAAATAGATTTATTATTTTGTTCGACCTGAGGCAAAGGAAAGTTATTAATTTTTTATTGTTGAAAATCCAAAATGCCATTCATTAAAAATTTGTAATTCAACTATTTCCCCCACAGAATGTAGTTCAAATGTTTTTTGAGAAAATCTCTTTGATTAACCGACTCGGCCAAAGTAAATTTCCATCAGAACTGAACATTTCATTAGGCAGGAAGCATGGAGCTAATCTGCCGTTGAACATTTCGGAAAGAAAACGAACACACCGAACATGAAAAAAAAGAAAACTTAGGAAATAATTAAGCAGATCAATTATATTCACTGGCTATTAAATTTACAAAGCGTGGGCAAGTTTGTTGGACTTTTGCTAACCACGTGACATGCATTGATCGCAATGAACGTTAATTGCTGTGAAGAAAAAATTATTTTCTCTTTTAATTTATTAAAGATTCAAAATTGAACTACGAACGTACCCACCTTTCCATACACACGCTCAAATACAGACAGACACACCCACATACAAACACACACATACATGGAACCATACGCACATGCACGCACTAACAAACGCATACGCATACACAACGCATACATATATACACGCACCACGCATCCACATAAAAACATAAGCACAAATAAACATTTCACTTACACGCGCAAAAAAAACCTAAAATGAGCTTCATGTACACTCGGCATAAATTGTGGAGGCAAGTACTGTGAGCACCCACTCTGCTACTATGTTTAAATAGAAATTTGATGATGACGATGACGAGGAGAAACAGAAGAAGGATGGTGAGGATGAAGAAGAAAATTGCGAACAGAAAAAACTGTTGTCGTGAAATAATTTGTTGTACCCCATGTGGAAGCTGTGTGGTGCCATCAAAATTTTGAAACTGCTTGTCTCTAATGCACTTTTATTAGCTGTGTGCGAAATGTTGCACAAGCTTGCACGCACAGCACAGTATGTTTGTTGCGTGCAGAGGGCATCGTCATCATCGTCGACATCATGCCCAAAATTAGCTTATTTATATTAGGAAATTTCTTCAAAAAAATTGTTCATACATGTGAGAAAATGAACCAAAACTTCAGATAAAAATTGACCATCAAATGTCATTAACAAAAATATCATGGACATTATTTTACATTATTTACATTATCCGCATTCACGCGATGGAACTATTCCAAGGCCTTCCTCTGATGTGTTGCTGCCTTCTGCCGAACTGCATTCAAGTGCCAGAAGCGTACCTACCTACTCAACGTTTGCGTGTTAAGTGCGTGCGTATGTGCGGCACTCCGACCCTGCTTCGAGTCGGAGTGTTCCACGTTCACGTGCACGGGTTGGCGGGAAATGAAAAAATGCACTCGCACACTTTCGTGAAGACTGAACAAATTTTCCAACATACTTCCGATAATTCGTTTGCGATATAAACACACTCCTAAGCAAAGAACAATGCACAGATGAACAATATGATTAACAAAAATTTAATTTTTTGAAAATGTTGAACACGTTTGCATAACTTGAGTTTAAAAAAATAAATTAGGCACTTTATTTCATTTTTTAAAATTTAAAATTAAATGAGTTCATTAATTTTAAGATACACAGATTAAGTCAATTTAAAGTTTTAAACACGGAATTTTTAGTGCGTTCAAATAATCTTTAAGAAAATGTTTTAAACCCCTTCAAGATTTCAAATTTATTTTTAAAAATGGCAGCAAAAAATCTTTCACTTTTGAAAATAAATTTTTATTTGTTAAATATTTACAACTCAAAAAATGAAATACGCATTGGGCGATAAAGAAAGGACCACAGACAGACAAGACATTGATATAGGCAACTTTGATTAGTCACGCTGCAATGTACCTTCCATAATAAATGTTCTTTGTTATGGCGGATGTTCTGGTGACCCAAGGACATTAAACAACTTGTACTTTGCATTAGTCCCTCATTCTCTTTCTCTCTCTTCCTCTTTTTTTTTTCTCTTTCTCTCATATTCATTTCCTGCCATTTATACATGTGTAGATCTCTCTCCGATTACAAAACGTATAATTTATTTATTAATACATATACGATATATATCAAGTACATACCTACATGGTACGAGTGAAATATTACGTGCACCCTTTTAAAGAGATGTCTACCTACCTACCTACCTACCTATCTACCTACCTACCTACCTACCTACCTACCTAACTACCTACCTACCTACCTACCTACCTACCTACCTACCTACCTTTTAAAGAGGTGTCTACCTACCTACCTACCTACCTACCTACCTACCTACCTACCTACCTACCTACCTACCTAATACCTACCTACCTACCTACCTACCTACCTACCAACCTACCAACCTACCTACCTACCTACCTACCTACCTACTTACCCACTAACTTAATAATTTTACATCCACTGCATTATGATGCTCCTTTGCCATCCACAACCTTATCCATCCCACCATATTGTTTTCCCTATTTGCACTGAACATTCATTTTTCTTGTTTGGACCGCGATAATAATACATATATTTATTTTTTTGGTTAGGGTGTGCGAACATTGTTAACATCGTTGTTAGCAAATATCTCCTCTTTTTCTCACTCTTTCTTTCTCTCTCTCTCCTTTTTCGTTCTCTCTCTCTCTCCTTTCTCTTTTTCTATATATCTACATGTTTGTGAGCGAATGACATAAAATCCGATGATATATGATGTAGAGCATGAAATACTAGTTCAGATGCGCGAGCATCAGATAGGAATGTATGATTGGTAGCTCTCCTTGATGTTTATCACAATGGATAACTACTATTACTATTTACTCCATACCAACTACTACTACTACTGCTACTACCACTACTACTACTACTACTACTACAACTACTGCTACTACTACTGCTACTACTACTGCTACTACTACTACTATTACTACTGCCACTACTACTACCACATTTACTGATATTACTATTATAAATGAACACTTCTCCTACATTAGTGCCATACTACAATTACCACTTACTTACAATTACTTAATTAATTACAATTACGACAATTTCACCAAAACAAATGCAGCTGCTGTAGTCGTTACGACTACTACAGCAGCTCAATTGTTACTAGTATAGATATTATATTAAATTTATTTATCAGGTTCGGTTGTGGCTGTTGCTTTTTGTTTCTCTGCATTTAGTGCTTGTTTCTTCAGCGGTCGTGGGTTTAATACGAATGTGATGGCGCCTTTGAGACATTGATTTAATTGGCGCTCTATAAATGTTCTAATAATTATAGTAATAATAATAATATTATTATTAAATAATAATAATATTATTATTATTAAATAATAATAATAATAATAATATTATTATTATTAATTATTACCACTGCTATTAATATTGCTATCATTACAACTGCTACACTGTTTTTATATTTTTCGCCACCAACTGCTGTCTTTCATTCGCAATAGCCTTTTGAAAAATTGTGAAATATAAACTTTTTGCCACTTTTAACTCTAACTGTATTCGTAGTTGGGACTGTGCTGGACATGTTCGAGATAATAATAATAATAATAATGTGAACATAATTTATTCAATCGACAAAATAAAATTCAAAATAATAAGAAATAAGAAATGACAAATAAAATGAAGTTTAATAAAAATTGAGTTTTAATGAAATGTACGATCCTCCTAAGCTCGATGACGTTACAAGTGCATAGGAGTGAAAGATATATTTAATAATAATAATAATAATAATATAATAAAAATAACAGCAATAGTAATACTACTACTATCAATAAGAATAATAATAATAGTAATAAAAATAATAATAATATTGATATTATGTTATGGTTAGTACCGTTAGCATGGCTGCTAGCAGTATCAAAGTATGAACTCCCAGCAGTTGCATGCATTCGTCCCTTCTCAACTGAGCTATCACACTGGATGATTAATTGCTTCACCTGCAATTTCTCTCTGCAAATATACACATATACGCACGTACGCACACACACAAACACATACACACACACGAACAGAAACAAAGATGCACACAAACAAGCCTCTGTTGAATAATGCGTAGAGACAATAGGAAGGGTTGATCAGCATTCGAAATTGAGTCATTTGCTCTCCCCTGGCACTTACCTTCCATTCGACACAAAAATAAATTGAACAGTCCCTAGTGTTGTTACATCATCATATTGCGAGGGAATATTTAATCATATTATCGCTTTGAAAGAGTTCTTTGAAACAAACATTCAACAGTTTTTCAAGTTTTTCAAGGAATGACACGAAAGTGCGAATGTTAATTTGTTAAGTTGAAGAGTAAACGAAAACATAAAATTGAACAGCAAAATTACCAACAACATCAACTAATGTAAGACATTGTGTGAACAAATAAGGAAGCAAGCGGCTACCAACACCATCGTCACACACGTTTTTTCATGGGACAATCAGGAAAATGTAGAAAAAATTCTCTGAATGTTCTGGCGAGAGTGATGGCAAGATGCGATGAAGAGTGCAGAGCGTGAATTGAGTTTGCTCATCTAATTCGCTCGTCTCGTCAACAATTTTTTGTTCTTCCTTCTTCTAGACCAGAAAATAATTCATAACTGATGACTCCATTAACAGGTCCGCATACATCAACCCTGGCATCGGACCAACACTTGATGTCACCAAGATGTAATGGATCGTAAGACCATAATCACAATAACGTAATGAATCGTAAAACTATAAATCAGCTTACGTGCAGTGCTACTCATTAACTTTATTAATAAATTTTTAAAGTTTGACACGACTGCATACCATTTTCTAGCCCTGTGGCACTGTTGAAAGAAAACAAAAATAATTTTGCACAAGCAGAGGGAACTTGAAGTTATGCCGCAGGAGGACAACCACGTCTGCTCAACAACATCTTGCTCCTATTCAAACAGCAACAAGCAGTGATGAGCTTCAGTCTTTAAATTTCAAACCATCGTCTTAACGTGTACTTTGTCTGTTACTTAATATTCATTCTTAAATTCAATCAATCACTTGAAGGACGCGCTTTTAATTTTACATAGAACGAAAATGTTTTCAAGGCTGGATGTCAGAGTTTTGCAAAAATATGACATTCGATGCTGATGTAGTTATTGTAGTTATTTGAATATTTCAGGAAGTTTTCAAAAAACCATTTCAAAATTAAAAAAAACTGCAATAACTTCAGAATACATAAAAAAGAAGTTCACACAGCACACACACATGCATTTGAGCACCGAGATTGAAAATCAATTTCGCTTATCTATCAGCACATGCACAACAAGACGGCATCATCTTTGTTGCATCACGACAACCAACATCATCACCAACCACCACCATCCTCATCATCATCATAACACCCCCACCTCATTATCATCATCATCATAACGCCACTCTCTCTCTCTCTTCTCATTTACTATATCACCACCACCATCATCATCATCATCTGGTCAACATCTTTTTTACAGTTTGAAATTACACGGAAAACAAAGAAAACAGCCAAACCAGGTCAAGCTTCACAAAACAGCACAGCAATGATGTCAAAACAATAATCAGGAAAATTTGAAAAAGATTAAATTTTTAATTTTAAAAATTGTTAAAATTCGTTCCTTATGTTAAAATATTTGAAACATTTAAAATTAAATCGTTGGCATTAAAATTTAATTGTCACAAGCTAAACACTTTCGTTAGTTTCTAAAATTTAAAATCGTGCTAATTATAATAATAAGAGGAAGAAGAAAAAGAAGAAAAAGAAGAAGATGAACAACAAGAACATTAATTAATTATAACACAAAAAATCAGTGCACTGCTTATGATAATTATAAGGAGTTACGAGCAGAAGAAATCAAATGTTGACATGGAAAACAGATGAAAAAAATGGAGACCCGTCCGACCAGAGACCCCAGCTCAAAGAGGTGAAGCATTCGTTCAGCTCTTACCCTTCCACCTATTTAGAGTAAGAACCAGACTGTTTTTTGAATTTTAAACCACTAAATGCATTTTTTCTGAAAGTTTTTGTAAAATTTTTGCAACAAACAAAAAAAGAATATTTCGCCTGGGTTGTATGAATCTTTTCTAATTTGACCTCCAAAAATTTATAAAAATAAAAAAATCATAAAATATAAATAGAGATGGCCCGCAACATCCCAGTGGACACAAGGGGACATGATGGGTGGGTGGACTGACTCTGGGGACAGAGAGGTAGTCAGAGGGGGTCGTTAAAACTCACATTGAGATAGAAAAATATCTGTAAATATTGTGGTACGTTTGAATACATCTGCTCCAGATTGTCAGTAATGGTACTAGCATTAGCACTATTATATGTACTGTTTACGTACATAGAAGTAGTAGTAGTTGTAGTAGTAGTAGTAGTAGTGGTAGTAGTAGTGGTAGTAGTAGTGGTAGTAGTAGTAGTAGTAGTAATAGTAGTAATAGCAGTAGAAATATTAGTAGTAGTAGCAGTAGTAGTAGTAATAGTAGTAATAGTTGTTGTAGTTTTAGTAGTAATAGCAGTAGTAGTATTAGTAGTAGTAGTAGTAGTAGTAGTAATAGTAGTAATAGCAGTAGTAGTATTAGTAGTAGTAGTAGTAGTAGTAGTAGTAGTAGTAGTAGTAGTAGTAGTAGTATTAGTATTAGTAGTAGTAGTAGTATTAGTAGTGGTGGTGGTTATGGTAGTAATAAAGTAATAACCACAATAATAATATAATATTGTCATTTTCTTCTTCTGCCGACTGTGACCAGCAGTGCATATAATATTGATTGTTAGTAACAGCAGGTAACAACTTTTTAGCTAATAAAATTAGCGCATAAGCATTGGATCAATTATGTCCGCGAGTAAGATGCATTTAGAAGGATAATCACATTAGAGGCAGTTGGCTATTTTCGTCATCATCATATCATCAGTGGTATCTTGTTACTATCATCTACTATCATCAATTATATCTTGATACTATCATATCATCAATGATATCTTGATACTATCAAATCCTTAATGATATATTTTCATCATCATATCCTCAATGGTGTCTTGCATCATCATATCCACAATGATATTTATCATCATATCATCATCAAAAATAAGTGGCATGGGAAAAATTGAAATAATTCTTACTTTTTCTTTTTTCTGGAAGATTTTTTGGAATGTAAAAATTCAACTACTTGTCGGATAAAATGCAATTATTTAAAAAAATCTTTTACATTGATTGAAACTGCTCAATTTTTTCAAACAGTTTGCAATGTTTCCAAACTGTTAACGACAAGTAGTTTACATCCATAAACGCCCATAAACGAAGTAAATAGCATTATTAAAATTTCATTTCATAAGAGAAAAAATTTTCGATCAACTAAAAAAACAATTTGAAGGCCAATAATGACCAGAAGATTGACAAGGTAATGAAATAAACTGCATGTAAGGCCTGCGAAAAATAAGAAGGAGCTACAAGAGACGAAGAAATAAAAACTACCATGCAAACAATTAGCTGAGTCATCATCAGCATCTTCTCTATCTTCATCACCATTAGCACCACTAACATCATAATCAAAATAATTCACATCATTATTATGGGCAATGTCAAATTTATTAGGACAATCTTGTTGGCTCTGCACATGACCACAGCGTAATTTGTTTGATTGAATTGATTGCATCCGCATTCAGCCAACCAGCCATTCAGCCATCCAGCAATGCAGCCAACCAGCCATTCAGCCAACCAGCTATTCAGCCAACCAGCCATCCAGCAAACCAGCCTACCAGCCAACCAATCATCCAGCCAACCAGCCATCCAACCAACCGGCCCACTTGCTTCCCAACATCAGCAGAGCAAAGTTAATAAACTACAAAAAGTCTCTAATCTACAAGAATTCGATAATCTAGAAAAATTTGATAATCTGGAAGACATATTCCCTGCAAACAATCCAATAAATCAACAAGCCATCCGCCCAAATGATGTTCATTCCTTCTTAGGCGGTCCAGCATTTTTCTATTTTTCCTGCATAAATAGATATTCTCGTTTGTTTCTTTCACTTGCCGATGTAGAAATAAAATAATAATTTTTGACTGACAAAAACGTTTTGTTATAATAAATTGTTCATTCAATCGACAGAATTAAAGATAGCACAACAACATCCACTGCTTGATGGCACAACAACATCCACACCACAGCATCCACACGACACGTTAGGAGATATAGTGCGTAGACTTTTTAAATTAAACCATGTCAGTGCACAACAACAGCATAATTTATTTTTTTAACTTATTAAAAAAAAGCTCAAATTTTTAAAACAAAACTTCAAATTTGTACTAGTGCAATCGTGATCTCAGAAAGTGTTTCAAAAAATAAAAAGAAATGTAACCGTTTTTATTAAACGAATGACAATGTGGATCATTATTGTGGAACACTGATAAAAACAAGAAAAACAAACATGTTTGTAAACTTTGCCTAACATCAATAACACCAGCAAATAATGGCGGTATCGCAGAGATTGCCAAGCGTTAATGGCAATTAGATAAAAATAAATTTTATGTCTTCCTCCGATGCTTGTTCCACGTAAATCGCCTCAAGTCTGATTTATTTTGAAGTGCAGTTCTCTAGACAGACCCAATCAAATAAACCATCCCAATCGTATAAAGTACTCAAACCAATGAATCACCCAATCATATGAACCCCCCAAACACATGAACCATTCAACAGCATAAACCCCCCGATCCTAAGAGCCACCCAACCTTAAAAGCCACCAAATCATTTGTACCCAATCATCTAACCCACTAAATCAAAGCCACTCAGTCATATAAGCCACCCAACAATAAGCCACCCATTCATAATCCCCCTAATCACGTAAAAGTGCCTCGCGCCCACCAATCCGGTCTGAAAATGTACTCCGCTCATAAACAGCCAGTGACCTATTTTTTATTTTACTACAAATTTTCGCATTTTCTGCCGTATCCCCAAAAGCCATTTATCGATAATTTGTTTTCCTTTTATTTCACGTGGTGTCTTCTCCATTTCTCTTCACTGTTTCCACCAACTACTTCCACCTTCACCCTAGCCTGTGGAACCTCAATGCTATTCTCCTGGAGAATGGGATCGCACACCACGGGCATCAGGAAGTGCTGATGTTAACTGTTTCATCAAAAACCACCTTGAATACAATTCCAAAGACGTGATTCATTCAACATTAACTACCCCATTTAGTTTCAAATCTTTTCAGTTTAAAACATTTTTATAAAAACTTCTTTAAAAAATTATCAATTCCTAAACTGAAACCGTAATGTTTTAATTGTGTTACTTTGTGTATATTTGTCTGTGATTCGCGTATGTTTTGTTTGCTGAACTGAAAAATTATACTTGTTTTGTTTCTAAGTTATTTGTGTTTTTTTTTATCAGCGTTTATTTTTATTTAATTTATTTTGAATTTGTTTTGTGTTTATGTTTTGTTCATGTTGAGTTTATGCTGTAATTAAATTATGTTTACGTTGTGTTAGTTTTCGTCTATTTTCATAGGCAGGTTACATTGGGATGATTAAATGTACAAGAAGCAATTTATCTGATGTGTGTCCCTTTTATTGTAATTCATACTTCCACATATTTTTGCATTTGCATCATCTCAACCTCCCACACGCACACATGAACCTACTTGCAAACATATTCGGACAGCTAAATACCCATGCAGTCGTGAATATAAACAAACAACATCTGCATATATATACTTATACACACACATAAACACAAAGGCACAAGTACATAATCAATCATACTAACGTATACACACAAACACAGAACTTCACCTACACACACATACACACACACATATTCACACACACACACATGCACACACACATTCACACAAACATGCACACACACACCACACACACACACACACACACACACACACACACACACACATGTTCACTTCACACAAACATGCACACACACGCACAACGCACACACGCGCACACGTTTGCGTTACACTTGAAGCGTAACTCATTTTTATAATTTATGATTATGTTGGGATAAAAAAATATAAGAAAAATATCGTCTTGTGACTATTGAAGCAAGACATTTTTCCGAGTTGTGATGTTGCAAGGAAAAAATTACGCCAAATGTGAATTTGTAGGGCTCACACCGAGTAGACAGTTCTAATGGGCCCCTCATAAATATCATTATCCAATAATAACGCTCTGTGCGATACAGACAATTTAAAAATTTTATTGGAAATAATGTTAATAATTTATTTCGTTTATTTTTTACTTACTTATTTTTATTCATTTAATTTTAAATTTCAGTTAATTGTATTTAATTTTTATTTAAGTTTAACACATTTCGGCGTTGATAATCTTTTCCGTGCGTTACGCAGACGACTGAATGAGATGCAATATTTGCATGGAAATTACGATTTGACAGTTCCAGTTTATAATACGAAACAAATGTTTTTCAATTATATGGGGCAGGTTTTGTGAAGAAATCTCAACGAGCAAAACTAGTTCAGATGTAAATATTTTTCCTAATTGTTTTATGTGCAACTCCAATCTTTCAAAAGGCTTATCAAATTATCGACTAGCACCATATTTATATTACATTTAGGAATATTTTTATGAAACTTCAATTCATCGGAACATGAACTTCAATTCACTCACACATGAACTTCAATTAACTCACACATGAATTTCACTGCACTCTCACATGAACTTCACTTCACTCACACATGAATTTCACTTCACTCTCACATGAACTTCAATTCACTCACACATGAACTTCAATTCACTCACACATGAACTTCACTTCACACAAACATGAACTTCACTTCACACATGAACTTCACTTCACTTACACATGAACTTCACTTCACTCTCACATGAACTTCACTTCACTCACACATGAATTCACTTCACTCTCACATTAACTTAAATTCACCTGCACATGAATTTCAATTCACCTGCACATGAACTTCACTTCACTCACACATGAACTTCAATTCACATGCACATGAACTTCACTCTCACATGAACTTCAATTCACTCGCACATGAACTGAACTTCACTCTCACATGAACTTCAATTCACATGCACATGAACTTCACTCGCACATGAACTTCACTTCACTCGCACATGAACTTCACTTCACTCACACATGAACTTCACTTCACACAAATATGAACTTCACTTCACTCGCACATGAACTTCACTTCACTCGCACATGAACTTCACTTCACTCACACATGAATTTCACTTCACTATCACATGAACTTCAATTCACCTGCACATGAACTTCACTTCACTCACACATGAACTTCAATTCACATGCACATGAACTTCACTCTCACATGAACTTCAATTCACTCGCACATGAACTTCACTCGCACATGAACTTCACTTCACTCGCACATGAACTTCACTTCACTCACACATGAACTTCACTTCACACAAACATGAACATCACTTCACACATGAACTTCACTTCACTTACACATGAACTTCACTCCACCTGCACATGAACTTCACTCCACTCACACATGAACCTTGCCACCCCACCTCATGATATTTGATTCTCATGAATAAAATTACACGACATTTGCTTTTAAGATTTCATCCGTTCCACTAAACTTTAAACAAGTTTTTGCATCTTTACCATATCATTCGACCCCTCCAAAGAAAAACTGCAAATTTGCTTTGAATAAAATGTTCCCAATTTTAAAATCGAGGTGTGTCACGAATTCGAATAAAATTGATAAAAAGCGGCCTACTTCTGTACGATTAAATAGTGGTCTTTTCAGCAGATAAGTTGTTGGAGATGGGAAACGAACTAAACCGAGCCCGAACTTTCAAACTTTTAAAAAAGAAACAAATTGAACAAATTCTTTTTTGTCAAATCTAAATTTTTTACAAGGCAAATGTTGCAATTTTAACATTTCCACTGCTAAAACAACACACACCTACACACACACAGACAAACACACACATACACACACACACAGACACACACACACGCACACATTCAGTCACACTACCACATTCAATCGTGACAAACAAACGACATTAATACAGCTCAATTGGAGGGGCGGGTTGATTGGTTCATTAATTTGTATTGTTTCGTTTTTGACTTGTTTCATTTTTATTTACACACTTTAGAAGAATATATTATTTTTTTGTCTATCGAATTGTATTTCTTAGTTACCAGTTTGATCATTCACTGACAATTTATTTTTATTAAAGTTAACAAACTTTTTAGGCAAGGCGAGCCCAAGTTCTCCGATGAATGCCACATCAACGTAGCAGCAATTCAAAGATTGCAAAATTAGATGATGAACAATGTAACCGTATTTATATGCCGAAACAATTGAAATTGCAGATATTGTCATCGTTCCATTCATCTTTAATACGACCATCCTGATCGTCACTGCTTACCTACATGACATCATAACATGCTCAGTTCACGTTATAACAATCATCATCGTCGTTGTCGTCACCCAGCACCAAACTTATAAGAGACATCAATCAATTCATCAATCCATTCATCAATCCATTTATCAATTCATTCATCAATCCAATCAATAATCCATTCATCAATCCATCGCTCCGTCGAGAGTTGATCCATTCTACATCCCTTATCATTTATGGAGCGGGAGGATTGCTCACTGAAACCCAATTTGATGCAAACACAAGTGAACACAAGTGATAGATATTTACTGTACGAGCATGTACAAAACATGTTTTCTAATGTTTCAATATTTTTGTGGGGCCCCATTCAGCAAATGAACTAAAGGTGCATTGTTGGAGTTATCGCTTGATTGATCCTTGCACATTTCATTCAATTGACTCACGGATGGCAGCCACTTCAAATAATTTGTAATAAAAATAATAATCTATTTATACAAATATAAATTTCTGCATGTATACATTCATGTTGTAGCAGTTTTTTATTTTTACAAAATTTTCTTTAAATTTGTTAGTAAAAAACAGAAATAGCTCTAAATATCATTGTATTTTTTTACTTGTTTACAAAACATGAAAATTTCTTAAATTTTCGCGATAGTTATTAATTAAAATTCATCAGACTGAATCGTGGTAAACATCAGATAACTTTATCGTCATCACCGTAGAGATCATACATTCGTACGTGTCCAACATCTCGAAACATTAGCCTCCCCAACAAACATCCTCAAGAGGAAGGACACCCCACCACCCACCACCCACTATCTTCCAGGACACCTCAAAAACACCTTCAGAACGTGCATGCAAACAAAGCAGACCGTTCTTTAACAATTTGATTGATGAGCGCATGCTGAAAGTTCCAGAAAGTGTAGATGGAAGGTGAGAGAGGGCATGGAGCACAAGATGTCCAAGCTGAGATCTTAAATAATCCATCATCACCATTTGCATCATTGTCGTCACCATCATCGTTTTCGTCACATTCATCATCCTTAGGGTGCCCCCTTATTAACGGCGGGAATTAGCATAAAAAGTAAAGGGTTTAGAAGACTGGGGAAGATGTGCGCAATTAATTTTTCCA